TATAACATACTTTTTAAATGTTTACTATTTAATAAAGTACTTTACAGTAATAGAAACTGCTACAAACAGCATTTCACTTAATCCTTAACATTTCCTCACAAGGTAGATGGACTGGATCCTATTAGTTTCATTTTTCCAGTGAGGACATACATGAAGAGAAGTTATACATCTAGTGTTCAGACCGTACAAATGAGGGGGAGAACGAGGACTCAAGACAAGCGGTCTTTCTACTGACTGCACTATGCTATTTCCCATCTGGGATCTTTGTAGAATTGCCTTTTTTGCTACCAGATTCTAATATATGGTCTAGAAATATTGATGCTTACAATATTGCATCGTGGCTGGGACACAACTATAGGGACAATCATTTTATAATGACGCCTTTGTATGTAACAGCTACCAGAAATGTATCTCTTCGGTAGCTTTACGGCCTGCTCCTTAAAGAAGATGGTTTGTATTGTACAAAGAACAATTGGAACTTCTTAAGTAGTTGCTGAATTGAACTGATGATGTCAGGCATCTAGAGTCCAGAGAGAGCGGGTAGATCATAGACTAAGTGAATCAGTCTTCTCTGTGTAATATGGGAAATATTGCACCTACCTACTCCATAATGATTCAAGGAGTTTAACTGAGAAAACACACGTGAGCCCAGTTAACACGAAAGAGTACCTACTCCACCCAACAAATATTCACTGAGCAGCCATTCTAAGCAAGGCATTGTGATAGATGCTGTAACGGGACCGAGCAGCCCACTCTTCCAACCAAAACCACAGCTTCATAACATATGGGAAATTGTTAAGGCTGTCAGGGATTACACACAAATGGAGTTGAGGAAAGACAGATACAGATCGGTGAAAATGGTAACCGCTTCCTATGACGGACAAGCTTACTCTCAAAGACGAGCAATCACTGACTGTCCAACTACAATGTAAAGGCTAAAATGCACAGACCTTTGAGTAGATGGTGGTGATGTGAAACCCAAACCCTACTTTGGAGATTCACTATGCAGTAAAAGAAGACAAATCTCAGTAATTTTTAAAACGGGTACATATTACAATGATATTTTGGATATACTGAGTTAAATAGGACATGTTAATTAAATGATGTCACCTGTTCATTTTTGCTTTTTTAATGTGGGTCCTAGAGAATTTAGAATTACTAGAAAGACTGAATTATATTTATATTGGCAGTGCAGTTTTAGGAGGACGGATTGTGGCCAAAAGAGGAGTTTGGGCAATCCGTGATTCTGAGAAGGCTGATCATGGTATATGCTATCTCTGTGAAGCAAGGACTGACACCCAACAGCACATGAGCCAAGTGTCAAACCCACAAATTACAAAAATTCTGATGGTTCACATGGGAACACAAATACCGTCAGCAGGGACCTGGAGGTATGTATCATTGGTGAGTTTAAAACAAATGGACTGAAAACTAAAAGAAGTAGAGGGCCTGGGGGATAATTCTGTTTCTTCTTCCAGGTGAAACAAGTATTTGAAAGAGAAGTAAGTCTATAAAATGCCTGTTAGAATTGACGTCCAGTCCATCTTTCGCACTTCCTCCCAGTAGCCAGTGACTATTTCACACTCACACTCTATCTAGTGTAATGGTTTACTTGGCTGACAAAGCTCGCTAGTACCCTCAACCAAACTATTTAATATGGACAATCCATTCATATTATTTATCTCCAGTAAATGTTCTGAAAATAATTGATAATCTCCAGCAACCCCCTCCCACCCCAATTATAAACAAGATACTGTAGGGACCTGCAGGGATTCGCCTGCAAGTGCCCCAGGGGAGGCCCTATGTCTAACTGAATTCAGCACCCAGCCTAGTACTGATTACATATAAGTACCCAATAAATATTCACTGAATACATTTAAAAAGCATGGTATTTTGGAAAGTAAAAAGTCCACACCTAAACAATATGGAAAAGTCAACGACTGGAAATTTTAGACTGGTTAAAATCACTTGTTGCACATGGATCATCTAGCAGGTGGGGTAAGTAACTAGAAATGAAGAGCCTAGAAGCCACAAGGACCTTCTCGAATCGAGTCATGCTAGAAAGCCCTCACATTCTTTTCTCAGCCTGCCTGCATATGCAGAGGGTGTCAAACAACAGAGGAAATCTTTGAGAGAGTCTTTCATTGGGTTTTTTAAATGTGGAAAATAGCAGACATGAAAGACAGAGCAGTTGTAAGACAATAACAAAGAAAAAAACCATAAAGAAAGGCTGGTGGCTGAGAGACAAGACAGGTCAGCCTAAAGAAATCCGTCTGTACTGTCCCAGGAGCTCCTCCTGGTCAGCATTTTTCTTCAAGGAGTCGAGGGAAGCGTGAAAGGCGATGTGCAAGCAGCGCGGGGGTGGGAGGGAAAAGTGTTGCATTGCATGCAGTTCAGAAGTTCTGAAAACAGCATGATGAAATCTAACAGGAATAAATGTGCTTTATGTACTAGGCTTACAAATAAGTCATAATTAGAAATAGAAATAAATAAAAATGAAATAAATTTAGGGTAAGGGAGAGGGACTCTGGGAAGAACTCAGATGTTTATCAGATCACACCCATACCACGTGGAAGCTGTTTACAAGGCAGGCAAAGGCAGGCTGCACTGGAAGAAATGCAGTTTTAAGTAAATCTTGTTTTTAGTTCTCTTATATTTTGTACCAGCCAGCCCACATTTGGAACATCACGATAAGGGGAATTCTGAGGAACAAAGGAATATGGAGGGGATTAAAGATACTTTCTGAAGGAGAGAAAGCCTATAGAAAACTTCACATTCTTGTATTTTCAATTAGAAGTGGTAGGTTACACTCAGTTTGTTTTCCAGATGGTACTTTTATGAGGAGGATCCCTCTGAGAATGTGATAAAGCCATGGGCCGACCCCAACCCCAAGAAAAAAAATCATACACATGGGCATGTTTTCATACAGCTTCGAGAGGTTCTAAACCAGATTAAGAGTTGTAAAGACCCAGGTTTCTGTTTCACGTAAGGAACTCTCTCTCCCTCCACTTCTAAAGCAATACTCCTAATGAAGGAGATTGACAGAAGAATTCCTCTCCTGGGCAGAGGGCGTGGGAGAGGAGTCTGCAGTCCGGAACATGCAGTTCCTCCCAATTCTAGGATTCCCTAGGCTAAAAGGAATGTTTGAGTAATTTCACAGTATTAAGGAAAACATTTAAAACTCTATTTGTGATTGTCATTCACGTTACAATTTTAAATACTAACAATAACCATAACACTATAGTACCTGAAACAGTCAAAACACACACTTGACATATCTCAAAAGGATTTTATTCACTAGATGCACAACTACAACGGCAGTAGGTATATAAATTATGTTTTGTGTTGCAAACAATCCTTCTCCTCACAGGTTGCCTTTCGAGCACCTCGGCTGCGCCAGGGGACAAGGCAGCACAAGTCCCACATTTGTGACCTAAACTTATGCTCTGTATTTGGATACAAGGATTTTTCTACGGGGCTACTTTACATCATCATCATAGGACATACCTATGAATCATCTTTTCAGCAGCATCACGTGATTTTTATAGCCTGGGGCCTATGTTCTGGGTAACTCATGGCTGTCGAAACCTGAAGAGCTTTTTTACACATTAGCTAGAGGGGAGGGGAGGAGGTGCATCTTAAATTTAATTCTACCTTTAAAGGGAAGTAAGTAAATCAGAGTACTCGAGAGTGATGCTTATTTCTTTAAAAGTTAGGTTCCCAGAAATCCTAAGTAGGAAAAGCTTTCTATTATTATTTTAAGAACTATTTCCTGGATTTTGCTCAAATTTCTACTACTTAAATTCTTACCACTAGTTCTGCTAATAATCGTGAAAGGGCCCCAATCCTGAAATAATTCTAGAAACGTTATATTAAACTTAACTTCAATGTTTCCTACCTACAATCATTTAAAACTATAATGAGTTTTTATACATGCCTGTTGCTGACATTCAGTGCTGCTTCCTGGAAACGATTTTCATAAATAAGTGTCCAAAAAGGCTGTGAGCCTCAAGGAGAAGCTGTGTGTGTGTGTGTGTGTGTCTGTGTATGTGTGTGTGTGTGTGTGTGTTTTATTAATTTGTTTGTGGAGTCCCAGTTCTAAGTTTACTCACTTAGAAGTCCCCACTGTATTGTCATTTTTCTCTTGGGGCTGAAAAGCAAGGTACTATTGCATCCCTTCATTTCCTAGCTTTCTCCAATTTCCATTGCTTTCATTTCCCATTCAAATCAATATCTCAAAATGGAAAAATAAAACCTGCCATCAATGGTAGACTTTGAGTCATACAGAGAGAGGGCTCATTTTTTTCTAGTTCAAGTAATAGCCTTTCCAGAAAAGATGAATGACATTAGACCTATTTTCTAGAGAAGGGATTGTCGAATTCCATCAACATCTGTCGTGTCTGTTTTCTTAGCTCTCAACAAAATGAAAGAACATTCAGACATTAAGGGGTCATAGAGAATTTTAGGGGTTATTTTTAGGTCATAGCTTCCATCCGGTTTAGCGGTAAATACAGCTGGTGAGGAGAATTGTATAGAATAGTGGTTCTCAAACTCTACTGTGGAGCAGAACCATCAGGAAGGCTTATCAGAACACAGACTGTCAGGCCCCACCTCCGCAGTCTATGACCCAGTAGGCCTAGGGTGGGGCCCAAGAAGCTGTATTTCCAGAAAGTTCCCCAGTGATTGTCCTGCTGACAGTCCAGAGATAACCTCTGTGAACCCCTGGTAGGGGAGGTATGTAACTGGTTTCCATGTCCTATTTCCTTTATCAGCCCGAGCTTTCCTGGCTAGGGTGTTTGAATCCTACTCTAGACTGGACCCCAAATGGCAGACACTTCCTGTGGCTTCAGAGCCACATACTTTTCCAAGCTGTTTCTAGAATCCATCCCCTGCTTTCTTTAAACCTCTTGCTCAGACTTTGGAGTGAAATTCAAAAGGAAATGGCTCGAAAGCCTATCTGGAAAAGGAGACTCTACTGAAAAGAAGACTGACGTACTCACCAGAGAGGAAATATGCACAGTCGTGTGGTGATAAAAACCATGCCAAATACAATAAACAGGAGATCACAAATTTTCTGAAACTTGGCATAATTTGCCATTTTGGCAGCCTATGAAAGGAAGGAATGTAACATATGAATTTAGTTAAACTGATAAATGAAAAGCTTCTTTCAATATGCATGAGTCTCCTATAAGATATAAATTACCAGATGCATAAAACTGCCTGCTACTTTGAAATGTCATGCATCATGCTTCAGTATCTATAAATTACCCGTAAGCTGAATGAAATGCTGCATTAGCCATAAGTAGAGCTACTGACTGTCACAGATTTAATAAAATATTCAACAACCTGAAAAATTCAATTGTATGGCTGATTGCAGGAAAACAGAAAAATAAGAATATTCTTGCATTGTAGATGATATTAGCAAGCTGAAGACACCAAAACAGGAATTTGGCTTAACAGGTCAAAAGAGAAAGTGCTAGATAATTCTTTAAGCCTTTAATGAGTCCCAAAACTAAGGCTACAAATTTACAGCCTTTCTGCATGTCCTCTTCTTTCCTAGAATTACAGGTTTTCCTTAAACAGGCATGGGGAAAATTCTGGGAAGAGAGTTTCTTGGCTGATTCTCATAAGTTTAGAATTGAAGAATGTGTCAAGATCATGTTATTTCAACGAATCCATTTAGGTATAATATTCAAAGTTACATTAATGGGCCATTTTCTAGATGACAGTCACTAATGTTCAAAGTATCTGAGAGAAGTTCTCTAAAAATTTATGATAGTGATTTAAGTGACCACTTTTTATATTATAAATTAGTCTAGGGAAGAACTCACACCCTTTCTCTACCATGTACTTTGTACGGAGGACTCTAAGAATAGGCAAAAACATAATTTTGCTTGATCACTTCTTTTTACAATTTTGCATAGAAGTCACAAGTACCCACACACAGGGTTATAAACTGAAGACGTCCTCTCAATTCGTAACACTGTTTTTCTACTTCTTGGAACATAAATTAGCCATGTTAAACTTGACAGGATTGTCGGCAGCATCCACAGAAGCAATAATTTAATACCTTTAAGTAAACACAAAGCTGTGAGAAAAATGTATTCCTAAAGGGAAATATCTATTAATTGAGTGGAAGCCAGGATCATGGACTTTTAATTTCATGACGACTGAGAGTGTCAGACCACAAATTATATCAAGAAGGAAAAAGAAGTGTCTTCTGCCCCCTCCTGGCTAGGCAAACCGGGTGGTTTTTCTTTTATGTTCAAAACACGGCCATGTTAGGGCTCAGCAGTATTGGATAAAAAAGCATTAAACACCAATTTCTCTGAAATGTCTAGGCCAGAGATCCCACTTCAAAGAGTTGACAGTTGACATATCTCATTATTTGGATATTCCCAGACATTATTTTCTAATGTCAAAGAGACTCCGGGTGATGAAGAACATTCTCTTTCAAGCCAGATGACCGGGATTTTGGATTATTTTTCTTTTCTGGGTAAAAGAGGCAGATGACGAGTCACCCAACATTTTCTGAACCGTGGCTCTGCCAAGCATCATGCCAGCTCTTTCCACAGATGTTAAGGCTCACAGATTACCCAGGATTGATTTCAAAACTGTAAATTGTTGTATAAATTTCCACTTTCAAGCATACTTAGGATTTAACCAAATGTTATCTGATTTTCAGGGGATTACCTTTGCACTACTTATATTTCTCCTTCAAAAATATGCTGAATAGTGTCTACCTTGAATCACTTAAAAATAATAGCTCCAACCTATCATATGACATATCTAGCCCATTAGGATTCTTTGTATGTTTCCTAACCTTATAGAAACCAGAGTTTTTAATATAATGCTGCATATGCTTCAAACCTTATCTAATTGCCTTTATGGTAGATTCAATCTTATGGCATGGGATTTCTGCTTATATTGCAATAACAGGTTACTATCTGAGGGCCCCTCTATCTATTTTCAGTACTAGCCAATGCTTCAAAGAGACAGAACTATGGGACAAGGAACAAAACAATCAGAATACAGATTCTAAGACCTGTTTCTACATGGAATTTGTATTCTAGTAAGTTCATTTTTGGTCAGTTGCATACATTTCTCTTACATACAAAGTGGAAAATCTTATTTAGATAACATTATTTCATAGGGACCATAATTAAAAGAAAATGTCAGATCAAAATTTTCCTGGGGATTTTATCTTTCGAAATATGGTAGAAGCATTTTTCTTTTTCTTTTTTCTACTCTAACAATTTAATAAGTTATAATGGTTTAGAAAGTAAATCAAAGGGCAACCAATATTTCCTCAGATACTCTTTGTACTTATATGCATAGAAAACATAGTTTTTATATATAATCTGCAATTCATATACACTTTTCACTGTAAAAATACAAGGATACCATGCATATCAGCAATAAAAACTATGACTACTAATTAATTTTATCAAGATGTTCAACTACTTTTAATAACTAAACTGAGTTATATATACTTGCCAGATAAAAACAACAGAAACAAAACCTATCCAAGTAATGATTTTCCTATTGCAAAGCATTCATTTCTTAAGTATGCAATAGTGATAGTTTTCATTATGCTATTAATAAAAAGTGCTAACATGATGAACATTTTCTGTATAAAAACTTATATATTAAAATCTCACTTTTAGCAAGTAGCAAGTTAACCTGAAAACAAACACTGCAACCGTATACTGTCCCCCCCCAGGCCACCCAGCCTAACAGAACTGATGATTCGGGGGATGTCCTGAATTCTAGATTTTGTACTGTTAAAGATGAAAGAGAACTTTTACCTCTAGAAGAGCATCAGCTGAATCATGAAGACAGAGGATCAGGGTCCCTACTCGGGCCATATTGTTGACATATGAAAAGCTAAGCAAGAAGATAGACAGAAGGTGATGCAGGAACATAGCGCCGAAGTCCTTGGAAAAGGAAAACACAGCATGTTAGGGCTCAGCAGTATCACATTCCCATTCAGCTATTCACCCACCCCACCAGTCCTTACAGAGCTCTCCCTAGGTCTCACCCCGGGGACCCTACAGTGAGTCTGACAGAACTACTCCTTCACCATATAGTGGCCGAGACACCAAAAGACCAGGGCCTGTGGAGGTGAGAAGTGCCAGGACCAAGGGTCAATCATAAAGGGTGTTTTGTACCACCTCGAGGAATTTGCAGCTAGGACTGAAATGGCTGCAGGATTTCAAGCAAAGAAAGGCATTCCCTGCACTTGTACTTGAGGAAAATCTTTTGGGCAGCAGTGTGGGTTCAGCTGGACCACTTTCCTGATTCCTTGTGGCTGGGGCTTCTGCATACTTCTGTAACAAGCCCATTGGGATGTTAAGGTAAGAATCCTAGGATGTCAGCTCTTCTGATGGGTCCTATACAAACAAGCCCCGAATTTTTATTTTATTCTGGTATCATTAATATACAATCACATGAGCAACATTGTGGTTACCAGATTCCCCCCATTATCAAGTCCCCACCACATACCCCATTACAGTCACTGTCCATCAGCACAGTAAGATGCTGTAGAGTCACTACTTGTACTAAGCTCTGAATTTTAGCCATTTCCTGGTCTGTGGTCATAGAAAAAAGGTTTTAGCAAAAGTAATAGTAAATTGCTCACCCTCATTTTGGTCAACTTCTTGAGCCACATGAAAAGATCATCTTTCTCTGATGCTGATTTACCTCCTGACAGTCTGGATGTGTTTGCTGTGACATGGGATTTCCACTGCTCAGAAATATAGTCTCTTTTTCACTGATATTATTACTCTTATTAACCTATATTTCTCCCAGAATAAATTTAAACTTTCCTGAAATTCTCTTAAATGCCAGGACTGGCCTTAATGGTGATCCCCATGAACTCTGGAGGGAAGGACTGCTCTCGTACAGACCGTTCGTGTAGAGACAGACAAGGCAGCCCGGACGACAAGCGCACTATGAGACAGAGAAGCAAGCAAGCGGGCACACGCATACACACCTCTCTTTATTCAGTGGCTGTTGGCATCATATGGTTTGGGGCTTGAGAGTTCAACTTCAGCAGTTTTAAAACATTTAAATAAGGGTCTTTGTTTAGATCTTGGAAGTAAGTCATGATAATCCCTAAGTGATGAAATACTGCTCCTATAATTTCACTGCATAGTTCCTATATTGAAAAAGTTTCCAATTATTGTATTTTAATTTATACTACTTGTGGATTTTAATTTATACTACTTGTGAACCTACCTATGGATATTTCTACTATTTAAATTCCTCTGATACAGAACTCCTAAAAACGTCTCTTTATGTTTTATAAAATCAAGTTTTAAATGACAATGATGAAATAAAGTTAACTGTGTATGTTTACAAGAAAAAAAAACACAACATTCAAACGGTTCTGTATATACTTTGGTGCACATGTCCTGGGGTTATTTTTTTGCCTTGGAAAGTTCCAAACACTTATTGATAACCATACATGTTGACTTATGGCCACAATAAACAATATATTCGTTTCCTAAAGAAGCTCAGATGATTGTAAAAATGAAGTGCAACTATTTCTGCTATTTTGGATTAACCTGGCCTCCAAATTAGCTATGCTGCCCTGATGGTGAATACCACTGTCGGGGCCCTCATCTGTCTTGCATCAGTTCGCTCTGGCTGCCCAGGGCAGAGCTGCAGAACAGAGTCCTGCAAACTTCTGCTGCAGGATGACGGAGCACCAGGCTTCTTCCTCCAGAACAGCGCTGGCAGCTAGTTCTCAGCTCACAGGCAAGTGATGCCCGTGCTCTGAGTTTACTCAGTGATTGTGTACACACTCACTTCCCAGTTTTGCCTACTTCTCCTGATGTTCTCCGATGTTTTTGTAGTGTCTGTAATTTTTCTAAATTATTAAAGTTGGACAAAACCTAAGTGCCTTAAGCATAAAATAAAAATTGCCACTGACATCTTACTATGCTGATGAACACTGACTTCAATGGGGTATAGAGAGGACTTGATAATATGGGTGAATGTAGGAACCACAATGTTTTATTCATAAGAGTGTATGTCAGTGATACCTTAATAACAAAAATAAATAAATAAAATTGCCTCTGATAGTTTCCCATTGGAAGATGAAATCTAGTCTAGTCCAGGCTGTTACCAGAAATTTACCAGGTTCAGTTAACTGGAGTACAGTATTCTATCAGACAATAACTACTTCAAAACAGTGGATCAATTAACATGAAACTGTCTATCAACTGATATTGTAAACTGTTTCCCAAGTACAATTAAATGAAAACATACAGCACTCAATTCCACAGAGAAGGGAGTTTACATTCTCCCATGCTTAATACCCAGTTTTTAAAGCCTAACCAGCTGAGTATCTAACTAGAACAATACTTCCCACATTTCCTTTTGTTCATCCCTGAATGACTGCTCTCCATTCACTGAAAGAGAAAACGAGTTTTCTCTATTTAGTTTCAAAGTGAATAAATATAAATTGAATAAAACACTTACAGATGATTAGTACCATTTTATAATTAAGTTTCCTACTTTGTATCTGATACAATTTATCCTAATTTATCTGATATAAATGTCAATAAACAACACAAAGCAGTTGGCAAGATAGCAAAACTCCCCTAAAAACAATCAGCTTATTTTGCCAGGCAAGTTTACTTTGTGGAGATGATTTCTGCATATAAACCCCCTGGTCCTGGAAAACACTTATTACTGAGGGACTCAGACTTAAGCCCACGGCAGAAGACCAATTTTCATTATACAGTCATATCTGTATGCATATGCAAAGGCATGAATAATGAATTTTGCCTTTTACATTTCTGCTTTAGAAACATTACACACAGTGAAAGAAACACCTTTAATAAAAGCCACACCATCATTATTTTATATGTCCCTCACATCTCCTCACCCTGACACATGTCTTTAAGGTGGACACTGAACCTGGTCAAAACAACAGTTTTTAAATAAACTGTCGATTTGGGCATTATTGATGCAGGGTGGGAAGCTCCCATCCTCATGTTTGTTTCGGTTGGAAGGGACTGCTGTGTATGCAGACACAAGCACGGCTGCAGGAACCTGAGCATTTTAGGGTGAGAATGTTTCCCTGCGTTTTGGGTAGCAGCAGTTAGGGAGAGAGATGGTGATTTCTCGTCGGCCTTCAGTCTGAAGACTGATCCTAAAGCCCTTACTCATAACCAGCTGGCCTGGCCACCGGCTTCACTGGTGTCGCCAACCTCCTGCCGCCCAGCTATTCTGGATTCTGGACACATTCACAGCCACCATCAAAGGCTTCTTCTCTGTCTCCTGCCTAATATTCACCCTAACCCCACCCTTACTCCAGTGGCTTCTCCTACATAATTATCAGACACAGAGAAAAACACAATTAGATGTGGTCTTGATTCAAATGCAATTACAATGTGTCTTGAATGAAAGACTTCAAGGAAGAGCCATCCATTTTAATGCCAGGAGCTGGTAAAATAATGCTGCTTTTTACCTAATTACAATTCCAAATGGCATTTAGAGAACTCAAAATAGTCTCTTAGTCTGTTCTGTGCAGCTTCCACATCAGAAACTCCTGGGTGTAAGTAAAATTCCAGCTACCTGGGCCCCGTCCCCAATTGTTAGAATGATAATCGGCATCCTCAGTTCAATTATCCAGGGGAATTTTATGCACAATAAAATATTAGCCCAGAAACACCAAAGAGATGAGCCTCTCATTAAGATGTAAGTCTGATGTCCTATGCAATGGAACTCTCCTTGTAATGATAATGCAGAGAGTCTTTGAAAAAATACTCTATCTTTGGGATGCCCCAGAAATTCATCTTAACACACATGTTTATGAAGGCAGAATTGACTCATTTCTCACTAAAAAAAAAAAGAAACACCACAAAGAATAAGCAACTTGTTCTTTACATTCCCATTTTCTGGAAAAAGTAATCATTTTATGCAGCTTCTTTGGGACATAACCTTTGCAACAAATGAAGAAAAACATTGTTGAGCCTTCCCACAAAAGAAAGAAGACCAAGACTTGAAGTGACGGCTGCTTTAGATGTGCATGGATGGTGAAGAACAGGAAATACTTCCAAAGTGCAAGGCAAAGAAAAGACCTGAATTTAATTTAATAAAATTAATATAATAAACTTACAGTCTAACTCTGATGAATACAAATCAGACAATTAGCACCAGGTTACCCACATAACAGATTTTCAAATTATCTAAGAAAACAAAAGGGCAGCACCGTAATGTAATGCTGAGTTCCAAACACTTATTGATAACCATACATGTTGACTTATGGCCACAATAAACAATATATTCGTTTCCTAAAGAAGCTCAGATGATTGTAAAAATGAAGTGCAACTATTTCTGCTATTTTGGATTAACCTGGCCTCCAAATTAGCTATGCTGCCCTGATGGTGAATACCACTGTCGGGGCCCTCATCTGTCTTGCATCAGTTCGTTCTGGCTGCCTAGGGCAGAGCTGCAGAACAGAGTCCTGCAAACTTCTGCTGCAGGATGACGGAGCACCAGGCTTCTTCCTCCAGAACAGCGCTGGCAGCTAGTTCTCAGCTCACAGGCAAGTGATGCCCGTGCTCTGAGTTTACTCAGTGATTGTGTACACACTCACTTCCCAGTTTTGCCTACTTCTCCTGATGTTCTCCGATGTTTTTGTAGTGTCTGTAATTTTTCTAAATTATTAAAGTTGGACAAAACCTAAGTGCCTTAAGCATAAAATAAAAATTGCCACTGACATCTTACTATGCTGATGAACACTGACTTCAATGGGGTATAGAGAGGACTTGATAATATGGGCGAATGTAGGAACCACAATGTTTTTCATGTGAAACCTTCATAAGAGTGTATGTCAGTGATACCTTAATAACAAAAATAAATAAATAAAATTGCCTCTGATAGTTTCCCATTGGAAGATGAAATCTAGTCTAGTCCAGGC